TGGCTTCATCACTCTGTTCTCCTGTGGTGAGCGTTCTGGCGCACTATGGCTGCCGTCGCATCATCCAGGTGGGGCTGCACACTGGTGGTGGTGGAGGGGATCCCCATTACCTGTAAAGCGCTTTGAGTGGCGTGTCCAGAAAAGCGCTATATAAGTGTAAGCAATTATTATTATTATTATTATTATTTCCACACACCCTTGACCGCACGGATTTAGCTAAAGATTTCTAGCCCCACCCCCACCCCAGTGCTGCTTGGGAGCCAGAGAGTGCGTCGCGAAACCCCGAACTCGAACAGGGGGACCCCCTAATGGAAACGCGGAGGGGCAGAGGAGCAGGCAGGGCCGGGGGCCGGCGCCTGTGCGCGGGGCGGGGGGGGGACGGAGAGGCGGGGCCTGACCGGCTGCTGCTCTGCTCTGTTGCGTATCGCAGGCCGCCAGCCGAGAGGTGGAGCGAGACTTCAACTCCGTCTATTCCCGGCTCGTCCTCTGCAAGACCTACAGGTGAGGCCTCTCCGCGGGTTCCCCCCCCCCCCTACTCGTCGCCCTGGACCCCTCACGAGCCGACGAGCTCAGTGTTGAACGTCAGGAGCTCTTTCAGGAGCGCTAGCGCCCTTCATCGCTGCTGTGTGATCTCTCACGTGAAGCCCTTATGATCCTGAGCTGGAGATGGAGACTGGGGGCATAAACAGATCAGCTGACAGACACATTGACAAGGCTTGTGTAAATCACAGCAGGGGTGGAGAGGGCAAAAGTGTTTACAGAACTGTCGGGCGACTGTGTCATACTTTTTGCTTCTTTGCTTTCCCAGCTCACAAGACCCCAGCTTATCCCTGTTATTGTAGCATTAAAAATAACTGAACCCAGACATCTCGGCTAGTGAGGGACAGGGTGTTCCTCTGCAGGTTAAGCCCTCCGGTGTGTCTAGCTAGTGGCAGTTTGCATGTCGGGTCTGACAGCCAACGCAGGGGTGGAAGGAAGACTGAGTCTCCTCTGGCTCTTGGGTTTTTCAGGCTAGATGAAGATGGAAAGGTCTTGACTCCTGAAGAGCTGCTGTACAGAGTAAGTGTTGTGTGGTTTCGGTGTTTTTTTTTATGCCTTTTTTCTTCCCCCCTGGTTATATAAGCGCTTAAACGACCATCTGTTCTCTCTCTGTCTCTTCCCCCACCCCACCCCCCTCCAAGGCTGTCCAGTCTGTCAATATGACCCACGACACAGCGCACGCCCAGATGGACGTCAAGTTTCGCTCCCTGATCTGCGTGGGCCTTAAGTGAGTATCTTCCTGAAGAGCGAGAAGAGGCGTTTTTCACGGCCCACCCTCAACAGGAGGTTGCCTGCACACGGGAGGGATAGGAGCTGGTCTCTGCTGTGCAGGACAGATTTTGGCGGTGTCCCCTCCTAGCAGGTCTAAGAACCTGCTCTGTCTTGGTCTCTCTCGCCCCCAGTGAGCAGGTCCTCCACCTGTGGCTGGAGGTGCTGTGCTCTAGCGTCCAGTCGGTCGAGAAGTGGTACCAGCCCTGGTCCTTCCTGCGCAGCCCTGGCTGGGTCCAGATCAAGTGTGAACTGAGGTGAGGTGGAGGGGTGGG